CCAGACCTCTGACCATAATACTTCCATTCTTTGTCAAAGTAACAAATAACTGAAGGATATCTATCTGTCAAAGCACTTAGTGCTTTCAGCTAACTCATTTTGATGTATCCCATAATGTTCAATCTTCTATGTGGAGCTCTATGAATGTAAGACATTTATGCTTTATTATTTAGAGTTTGGGTGTGAGAATGATGTTTGATGGATTGAAATCAGGATAATAATCATGCTAATGGTCATACTTCTATGGAACTTCACACTTTTAACAATTTGAAACTTTCTCTTTATAACAAACTAGCCCTAGTGTGCTTTTTTTGCAGACATAACTAGATAAATAATATGAAGAAAACATGTGTAATATCTATTGAAAGATGTAAGAATATAAAATATTCGTACATGCTAGCTATGCTCCCCCTTTGTGATTACTCTGCTTCTGGAAAGGAAAATCTTTGAGATCTTGTCCATTGTGTCCTGGAGTGTAGGTGGGATAAGGTAGGGCTGACATCAAGGGGTGGGCTGGGCTGAGGCTCAGGCCTAAACATGCATGATTATATAGCCCAACTGAGCTCTTGTGGCTGTAGATCCCAGTTTCAGGTTCTGGAAGAACTTGAAATCTGGCTTTCCCTTTGGTCTTCTTCCCCCCCACTCCCAACCTGTCTTTCCTTCCAGATTACTTTTTGGATAAAGTTTAAATTGGATTCTAGAATTCTGGGGCAAGCCACTTCTGCCCAGGACACCCCTGGCTCAAAGATCTCTGCTTTTAAGCTTTTTTCTTGCCTGGTGACTTTAGTGCCTAATTATACCATCATACTTTTACATGCCCCCCAAAACTATTTTAATTTATTTTTAAAATCAGAAGGAAAAATGGACACACTCCAACCTGGATTACCTTATTCCAATGCAGTTATAAAATAAATACAATTTTTAAAGTTTGGTTGTTTTTTTTTTTAACGGAGGAAGGGGTCCCAAAAGCAAAAGTGTCTAGGACAGTGGTCGGCAAACTCATTAGTCAACAGCACCAAATATCAACAGTACAATGACTGAAACTTCTTTTGAGAGCCAAATTTTTTAAACTTAAACTATATAGGTAGGTACATTGTTATTAACTTAATTAGGGTACTCCTAAGGCTTAGGAAGAGCCACACTCAAGGGGCCAAAGAGCCGCATGTGGCTTGTGAGCCGCAGTTTGTAGACCACGGGTCTAGGACCCATGAAAGTCATAATTAACCCTGAGTAACTTCCCACCTTGAAAAGCAAGACCACATGCAACCACCTGGTAGAGTTTACCAAGATCGGCACAGCTAGCTTCAGGGCTGGGTTGAATGTGCCAACTTCTTGCTCATCGAAGTTTTTTAAACGCAGCTCTAGGCAAGGAATGAAGCATCATGGAAAGACTCCTAGGTGGATCTGAGAAGCCACAGAAGGCCTTTTCGTAGGTATGTGCCCCAAAGCCTAGAGGAGGAGCCCATAAACAGTTTAACAAGGGAGTCCAGCCTCTCTGGAAGGCCAGACCTGGCCTGTGACTCAGTCTGCATTCCAGCAATAACCTGTATGATTTTGAAATGCAAACCTACATATAACTGGATATCCTCTTTGAAATCCTTTGTTTAAGCATTAATTGCTTTGGTACCTCTGAAGCCTCTCTCCACTTAAAAAAAAAAAAAAGTTGGTCATTAGCTGTGAACCATTTTGAAGATTAAACATTCAAATGCATCTGGCTGCCGATGGGTGCACCTGGGATGGCACCTGAATCCATAGGAAACATTATCTTGAAAGGAACTGTTTATAACAATCCATGGAAACTTTTACTTCCCACAAATGATTGCTTATTTTGATTCTTTAATGAAAGTTGCTGCCAGCAACATTAAATTTGGGGTGGGATGGGTTTATTCCACTTGTGGCCATCAAGGCAGGCTGATGACCTTTTGGTAAGAGTTGAAGTGTCTAAGTAGCAAAGCAGGCAAGTGTTTTCTTGTTGTTTCTATACCCAGAAAAATAACAGACTTTCCTCGCCCTTCCCCTCCGCCCCCATCTTTTTCTTAAATCCTAATTACGGAGCCCTGAGATCTGCAGCAAAAAGCCAAGGGTTTCCCAACTTCCAGAGGGCACAGAGAGACATCGTGCTAAGAAATCAGATGCCCTTCTTCAGAGTCTGGGGTGGGAGGGCACATGCCTACAAAAAGACCTTCTGTGGCTTCTCAGATCCACCTGGGAGTTTTTCATGATGCTTCATTCCTTGCCTAGAGCTGGGATAGAATGTGGCCTAGGTGGGTGCAGGATAGTCCCTTGCCTCTCTCTCAGCCTGAAGCCATTCAAATGCGTGTCCCATGGCCAAACAGAATGATTTCTTGGGCCTGACATGTACAAGATGGAACTCTGTTGACTTTGCCAAAATTCTCCCAGACGGATAGTCTGAAGTGGCAGGAATGTGTTGGGAGATGGATTCCTTTAAACCAAATGTGAGAGGAAACTTCTGTAAGTGGGTTATCAAATGGAAAACGAGGGGTTGAGGCACAAACCTAGACTGGGATCATCCTGTGGGATCTACAGTATTTCCACAAGACTTCCTTTTTAAACAGTTTAAGTGCCGATGGATTTAAAAAGCATAACTAACAGTAGGAAAAGGAAATTACATGCCCAGGCACAAGCCCAATCCTGTCTTTCTGAGCAGTGCACTCTCCTCCAAAAACACTACTTAATGGAAGCACAGTCGAGTAGAATAATTTTTAACTTCTTGGATGTTTGGGCCACTTCACCAGAATAAGGATGAGCCGTTCACTCAAGTTCTTAATTTCAGAAGTATGCTAATTTCCCTCCACAGTTCTAAGGGGCTGCTTCATGGTTATTTCATAGTTAATGCTCTGTTGAACTGATCCCATGCCATTTTCTGATGCAAAAAAAAATGCAATTTCAAAATCATTTTTCTACTTCTTTGAGGTTTTTTTTTCCACTTCATTTAAATGATGTCACATCCACCTAAAACTAGTCCAATGATGATGAGGTGTAACACATACACACACAAGCAAGGACAGCAATAGAAAACCATGGCATAGACCTCATCTTATTCTAACGGCTCATTAAACACCTTGGTCTTTGATACAAAGAAAGGAATGGAGAAACTAAATGTTTTTCTCTCTATTTTAATAATAAATGTCCCTATACTCTGCTAAGGTATCATAAGTTTTTTGGTTTTTTTTACAGCTCTTATTACTCCAATCTCTGTACACTTTAATACAAAACCACAACAAAATGGTCAAAGTATAAGAAAACCACCCACTAGCTATTGATCGGTAAACACAGAGCGGCCAAGCAGTTTGACAGCAAAGAAAGCCAATGCCCTGGAGTTGATTGCCTCCAAGCTTTCGTCTCTACCCCAGCAATGGGTTGGCCCACTTACAATATTTGGCATCTTAGGATTTTCAGAGCTTGGGAGTGGGGAAGCTTGGACATGAGCTTTGTGATTATGCTGCTTGTTTACAGCCATGTTTGGGTAAACCCTACTGCTGTTAATAACAACAAATGAGCCAAACCAGGCACACACAGATTTCTTTGGGTCAGGCGTCATCTAAGGATGTGGTCAGTTCTCAGGTCGGATTGGTTTCACCAAAATAAGGAGTTTCTATCTAAGCTTAAATCAAAACTGTTCACGTTAGCTGTCCCCATGTAAACTCTGCCCAGATTTTTGGGCAGTAAAGCAGGCCCCTCTGATTCTCTGAAGGGGCTGGCCTCCTGCTTTAGTTTAGTTGTGACTTAGCTCTGTGCCTTAGCTCTAAGAGGTGGGAAGGAACTATTCTGCTTTGCAAATGAAACTCTTTATAAAATCTCACTACATTTTATGGACAGAACAAATCCAACCAGTAGGCTACTGATGAACTGCTTCTCAAAAGAAGTGGTGTGCCAGAGGCTTTGCTTATACGTCAGAAAGTAAAGTAGTAATTTGTCAGTTAGTAGTTAATGTGGTCCAGTGGGACTCCTAAGCTGGTAATTCTCACCCCAAAATGATTTGGGGGGCCCAAATTGGCCAGTTAAAGTATGAACACACACGATTTTTTTGTTTGTTTTTTGTTCTACATTTGACTCCAGGAAATTCCTGGATTAATTATATCATTGCAGATATTTCACGTTACTTTAGATTAGGCAAGTAGTAATTTTAGAGTGTGATAAACAACAATGTTCGCCCAGTGCCTTTAGCTTAACCAGAACCTGGCAGCACAGAGGCCTGGGCAGCACATCAGCTCTGAGTGCTCAGGGGCTGCTTCCTGAAGGCTCCCCTTACCTACACTTCACCTCTGCTGTCAGGGGAGAGGGGGAAAGAGAGGGAGTGGGGAGAACGAGAGAGAATGAGAGAGAGGTTGAGAGAGAAGAAATCATGAACTCTTATCATATTTTAAATAAAACAACTTAACACAAGCCATTTTATAACACTGAAAATAATACAAAAAATTCTGGCACTAGAGCCCAGTGTATCTTAATTAGCCTTTTTCTTCTCTTTACCACTGATGAATCTTTCTTGTTGATCCTTTAAAAGACTTATCCTAAGCAGAATGCATAAACCGAAGTCATCACTTATGATAAATTAATCACGTCAACGAGAACACTTGAAATTCAACAACTTTATCTTATTTTCTCCAAAATAACATTGAAGTTCTAAATGGCAAATCTCAAATCAAAGTCTCAGGCAAAGGAAGAAAAGTCAAAGTCTTCCTGTTACTTACCTCGTTTGAGATTCTGAAGGAATGGGAAACAACTTTGAATAAATCCCCCCTCTCTCTTCCCCTGATGTTTTCTTCTAGACGTTTGCAGTTCCCACTTTTTTTATCCAGGCCCAGCCAAGGTGTGTTAAAGCTGAGTGATCCTTCAGAAATGTTCACTTCTTCTCCCCCCCTTGTTTCTTTCAGTCCTTTGCTCCCAGACAAGTCCTGACAAAGGTGTGTCGTGGTTTACAGCGTTACTCCACCCTCCCAATTATCTGACACTTGCGGGATTAAAAAAAAAAATCTGCCTCCAGGAATCAAACTTTATAGGAGGCAGGAACTTTCTCCTACCTGTTTAGGAGGATTAACCATTTCTGGGCCCATGAGGAAATGGAACTAAAGTCAGTGTAAAGGAAATTCCCTTGTATTACTTCTTACCTTCTTTAGCCAGAGAACTGCCACAACTTGGTATTCCCCTTCCTCACTGCCATGGAATACTCAGAATCCCAATATGCATGATCCGTGGCATAGCTGGGCATGTAGTGGCCTGTGGTCAAGTCATCTGAGCCCCAGAAGAACTGTGAAGTTGGCATGATTGATGTTCGAGACCTTTGACCTCTTTCCCCCATTCTGACCCAAGCCAGGTCAAGTCCGCCTGGAAGAAATAGTAGGTGAACTAATTTAGAATAAGATGTTACTGATGGAAAATGTGGAGCAATTGGAATGGGCATTCATTTTTTTAAATATAAGGCAACCTGATATAGTGATGCTGACTCCAAAGAGTGACATGTTAGTCACAGGATTTCAGGCAGGTAGCCACCTAAATAATGGAGAGAGATACTGTTGGGGTGGGGGGGTGGGAGTTTAAGGATCTTCTTGTTCCTCAAATCAGCAACTGCATAATTTCCATACACCTGGGACTCCCAGAGGCTCTGCCACTTCAGGCGCATTCCGTGGAACCCTTGGACTTCCCTCGAGGGCCAATTTGTACCAAACTAGGTAATTTTTATGATTACCTGAAGAGCATCTGGCTTTCCAGGACCCTTAAAGACTAGCTGAGACTCTTGGTGTAGGTAATATGGGAAGTCTGAACTTAGAACTCACTCAGGTGCTTCTTTGAGGCCATAGCACCTTCTTGGACCCAATGTCAGTTTCAGATTCCCAATTCTGAGGCCTCATTCTCAGATCTTGGAGGGGAGCCATGGAATTCCTTTAGCAAAACACCAATGCATGTTTGCACCCTGCTATGTGCAGACATACATTGAAGGGTCTGAGCACCAATTGTGGGGTTCTCACTCCAAAGCTCCCAATATTCTGCTTGGAGTCACACATTTCAGAACCCTTCCAGTGTCTCAGAATGTGACACTATTGGGTTCTTGCTTTCTGGGATGTTCCTGCCTTCCCCAAATAAATACTTACTCAACATGTCTGCTGTCAGTCTCAGAGGAGAAGAGCACTGAAAGATCTGGAAGACAGACAGAATGAAATTGACACAACCCTGCAGCATTCATTCACTTATTAATTCATAAATTAAACAAAAATATATTTGCTCCTGCTTGGAACTAGAGGTTGAACTATATGCTGAGAGTTCAGTGGTGAAACACAGACATGTCCTTTGTCATTAGGCGTTCACAGCCTAGTGGAGTAAGTAAGATAGTCTTTAAACAACGGAATACCCTACTGGGACTGCCATAACGAAAATTCTGGTGGCTGAAACAACGGAAATTATTTTTCTCCCCGTTCTGGAGGTGGGAAGTCCAAGATCAAAATGTCAGCGGGTCTGGTTTCTCCTGAGGCCTCTCTCCTTGGCTTGCCGATGGCTATCTTCTTGCTGGGTCCTCACACGGCCTTCTCTCTCTCTCTCTCTCTCTCTCTCTCTCTCTCTCTCTATCTCTCTCTCTCTCTTCTGTGTGTTTGTGTGTGTGTGTGCACCCCTGGTGTCTCTCTTTATATATCCTAATCTCCTCTTCTTATAAGGTCACCAGTCAGATTGGTTAAGGCCCATCTTAACAGCCTCATTTTAACTTAATTACTTCTTTAAGGGGCATGTCCCCAAATCCTATCACATTCTAAGGTACTGGCGGTTGGGCTTTAATATTTGAATCTGGGGGAAAATCATTTACAACAAATTATGTACACAATGAATAATTATGGACCAATATACATTAAGAATGTGGTAGCTATTATGAAGAAAGAATTATGAGTACTGTGAGAGAGCAAAAGAGGAGACATAATCTTGAGGGGGGATGTTAAGAAAAAGCCCTGCTAAGAAAGTGACATTTAAACGGACAGATGGTCGAATAGAGATTACACAGGTGAAAGGAGGAATTCTAGAACCTAGATAGGGAAAAGAGTATTTGAGAAGGTTCTGAAGTGGAAGAAGCCTGGTGAGTTTGAGGAACAGTGATGACAATACATTTAAGTGCACCAAGTGAAGGGGAAGTGCTATTGGAAGAGAAGCTGGACAGAGTCAGGAGCTAGATCACACACAGTCTCAAAGGCCATGGTAGGAAGGTGGTTTTGGTATTTGGCAAATGTTCTTAAATTGGCATTTGGGAACAACTCTATATAGGCATGTATGAATATTTGGATGATTAAGAAAGAAGAGAGCCTGACCAGTGTGGCTCAGTGGTTGAGCATCAACCTATGAACCAGGAGGTCATGGTTCCATTCCCTGTCAGGGCACATGCTCTGGTTGCGGGCTTGATCCCCAGTGTGGGGCATGCAGGAGGCAGCTGATCAAAGATTCTCATCATTGATGTTTCCACCTCTCTCCCTTCCTCTCTTAAATCAATAAAAACATATTTAAAAAAAAAAGAAGAAAGAAGAGAGATTGGAACTAATGTTTTCTAAAGTTTATTATGTGTCAGACATTTTACATACATTAGCTTACTTAATCCCTACAGCAACCCTAAGAGGTATGTATTATCTTTATTTTATAGGTGAAAAAAGTGGAATTCAGAGAAACTGAGTAACCAGGCCAAAGATCTTACATCTAATAAGTGGCTCCAGAGAGGGAAGAGGGACTGGAAAAGGAGTTAAATGATTGATCATGTCTACATGATGAAGCCTCCATAAAAATCCCAACAGTGTGGGGTTCAGAGAGCTCCCAGGTTGGTGAACTTGTCCACAAACTGGGAGGGTGACACGCCCCAACTCCATGAGGCTTGAAGCTCCTGTGCTCAGCACCCTCCCAGATCTCACCCTCTGTACCTCTTCATCTGGCTGTTCATCTGTATCTTTTATTTTATCCTCTAATAAACTGGGAAATGTAAGTAAGAGTTCTCCTGAGTTCTGTGAACTGTTTGAGCAAATAACTGAATCCAAGGGAGAGCGGGTTATGGGAACCTCCAATGTATAACCCAATAGGACAGAAGTTGTGGGTAACCTGGGGCCCTACCACTTGTGATTGGCATTTAAAGTCTCATGGGACTGAGCCTTTAACCGGAGGGATCTGACACTATCACCAGGTAGATAGTGTCTGAAAAGTTAAATGTAGTACACCTAGCTAGTGCCAGGGAGAATTGCTTGGTGTCACATTGTGGGAACCCCCACCCCATCATGTCTGGTGTCAGAAGTATTGTGAGTATGGTAGTAGTGTGAGAGTAAAGACAGACACAGGAGGAGGACTAGGAGGTATTTTTCTATACAGTGCAGAACCTATATTCCACTTAACCTCTGAACCCTCATTTCCCACTGCCTGTGTATCATTAAGATTTAAGTTTGCCCCCAGCTTGAACTGAAATGAGATAGGCAATATCAAAACAGAACAGGCTGAGGGTAAATGATAACTTAAATAAGAACTAAAACCATTTGAACAATGGAGATATTTTCAATCAACAGCATTATGGTGTTGGTATACTTTATTGATGATTTTAGATAAAAATCTGTATTAGATGCTGGCAACTATAAACCAATCAATTATTCAATTCATATAACGACTACACAAAACCAACCATTGGAATCAGCATGGCTGTTTTTCCCCCTCCTGTTTATTATTCCTGTAATAACTAGTATTTTAGTATATTCTATATGTCCTGATTATATTCTATACATATTATATTCTAGTTACTCAAGTTTCATATTTTATTGTGCTTGGCAAAATTATTTCCAATAAGACATATCTTGGTACATGAGGTGAAAGAAACCTTATGTTCATTCGACATGCATATGTTAAGTTTCTACCATATCCTGGTACTAGGTAATTGTCTTTTAAATGTTTCAAATTATCCAGAAAGCAACAAAATTCTTACTAAAATTAAGGAACAGAGTCAGATTTAGGAGAAAGCAATGACTAAGACACCGGAAAGGTGTTTCTTGTTTCTTGCTCCATTTGGACCTATGTTTAATGAGTCACATTTAATCAATTTTTGATGGAGCAGAAAGAAAATTTCCTTAAGAGGCAACCAGAAAAATATTCATCCTCCCAAAATTATCTACTGACTTTTAACTAAGTTGGGGAGAAAAGATGTCTGTTTACGTGTAGCCGAGACTGACACCTGGTACCAGACTCTCATTGCTTGTTGAGCACTGTGAGTTCAGGTATACCCCATTTTCTGTGGCTGATGAGTTTCTGAAAAACTGGATGTGTAAATCTGGTTTTTGGTGACTAGGGTGGATGTTTTTGTCAAATGACTATTCATTACCTCATTAATCTTTGTGAACACAGATTTTTCTGTATTTGTTTGGTTTAAAGGAATGTACCCTGTAGATGGATTTCTCCCTATTCCGTGACCCTATACCATAAGATTATTATAGATAGTAATATGTTTTTATCAAAAGTTCATCGGGGGATCCTAAAGCTTTGAGACACATTTGCCTTATTTTATCCTCTAATAAACTGGGAAATGTAAGTAAGAGACAATAAGAAGTGAAGTTCACTAAAGGAGAAAATAGTGCTTGCTTTGGCAGCACATACACTAAAACTGGAATAATACAGAAAAGATAAGCATGGCCCCAGGACAAGCAGATTCAAATTCATAAGCATTTCATTAAAAAAGGAGAAAATGATTTTATAATTAGTGAGATAATTCCACTATCTACAATAGTTGATCCAGCTTTTTTTGTTGGACAAAAAAAAATTCACTGATTTTTTTTAAAAAAACAACCTGAATTCCTTTATATTAAAATAAAGAGAATATGATTATTTGTTGCAGGTTGCTACAACATTTCTAAGACTAGAAGGCCATATTTCCTCCTAGCTTTCTCTTTGGTTAGCATGTGCTCGTGGATAATAAACAATTATCACAACAACATATGTCACAGTTATGGAGCGTTTGGCTTTTGGGAGGCTGCAGCTGAGAAGTAGTACCAAGTCCTGCCCTTCATACATGGGTGTAAGGTCTTCATCAGCTTTTCCTATTTATAATGGTTCTTGAGTTGTTTCTGCTGCCTTTATGATAATAACAATGCACTCTGGTTTCCTTTCTTCCATTTCCAATTTCAAATCTATTCATTTATTTATCCATTCAAAACTCATACATATTTGTTGAATGAGTAAACAAATACCCATTGATGGTCTACCATGAACATGGCACTGCGTGTATAGATACAATTGAGGATGAAATGCAAAACCTGCCTTCAAGGAATTACAATGTAAAAAAAAAGATGGATGGGTGTATTTACCACATATACAAAAAATTACAATATAAGGAAGAATGTAATCCGTTAGAGATTTAGGAACGATGTAAATCCACTTCCAGCTGTGGATGTCAGCCAATGCTTCATAAAAGAGGTGTCATTTCAGTTGGGCTTTAAAAGATGGGTAGTAGTAAGAAGCTGAAGATGGAGCTGCAATTTCAAGGAAGAAGTCCAGCATGAAGGCACAGGTACAGGAAAAAGTAAGACTCAGGTGGAGAATGGTGAAAGACAGTGAAAACGGAGTAGATGGGGAGAGGCTGGAAGTGTAGAACGTGCTAGTGGATGCGGGAAATCTGAAATGCCAGCCCAAGGAGTGTCTATATCAGTGTTGGTGAACCTATGACACGTGTGTCAGAGGTGACACGCGAACTCATTTTTTTGGGTTCATTTTTCTTTGTTAAATGGCATTTAAATATATAAAATAAATATCAAAAATATAAGTCTTTGTTTTACTATGGTTGCAAATATCAAAAAATTTCTATAGGTGACATGGCACCAGAGTTAAGTTAGGGTTTTTAAAAATGCTGACACGCCGAGCTCAAAGGTTCGCCATCACTGGCCTAGGATGATGCTGAAATTTTCCAAGCTAACCACTGACCACACTTCCCTCTTCTTCCCTGCCAAGTTACCTTCCTCAAAAGTCCACCTGTTAAAGCTTACATTTTGGTGGAGGAATAAAAAAATCCCCGCCTGGCTGGTATGCTCAGTGGTTGGGTGTCAACCCATGACCAAGATTCCCAGTCCAGGCACATGCTCGAGTTGCTGGCTCGATCCCCAGTGGGGTGCATGCAGGAGTCAGCCTATTGATGTTCCTCTCTCATCAATGTTTCTAGCTCTCTATTCCTCTCTCTTTCTTAAAATCAATAAAAACGTATTTTAAAAATTCCCCTTGGTTTGGTCTCTTCCCTCTAGTAGGCAGTTAGACAGGCATGAACAAAGCAGGACAACAGGTCAGGTACGAATGCAACCAGAGAAGAAAATCCCAGGTACCTAGCAATGGGTAGCCAGGGAGAGCAAATATTGAAATATGTTTGGTAAATTAGGACCTCATCCCTGAAGTATGCTTTCTTTCCTAGCTTGTCATGCAGGTCAGACACTCCCCTGACCTTTTCTCCACTGGCATGTAGGTAGTCATGTAGGTAGAGTGCCTTAGAGAAGAAACAAGGGGCTGAAGAAAAGCCCCACATGATTTCCATACAAGGTCAGGAGACAGTGGGACAAGCCCCATGGGTCAACTTAAAGAAGGAAGCAGCTATTTGCCCCATCCCCACCCCCGTGCCCCAAGGAGCCCTTGCCAATACCCCGGGGCCACGCTCTTTGGCCGAAATCTTCTGTCAAGTGTACTTTTGCTTTGCTTGCTGAATAAACTTTCTTTTGTAGTTTGAGTCTTGGATCTGAATTCTTTCTTAGCCAGAACTCAAGCACCAAGGTTGCTGAACCAAGATGCAGTCTGACGCCACCAGTCTAACTCCTGCTGCTGTTTCTCCGCCAATATTCCCCACTCCCATTTTGTCCTGTGTTCATTACCTAACGTATTATAAATGGGAGGTTTAAAAAATGGTTTATTATATGTCTTGAAGAATTTGGATATGAAAACAATAGGATATTAAAATATGTCATCTGTAGGTGATACATTTATTAGTTTAAAACCACTGTGTGTTTTTTAACATGCCCTACTAAATTATTTATAATTTGTTTCTAGCAATTTAACATTTATAGTTTAGTTCTGTCATAAGACAGCAAAGAGCCAAAGAAAAATATGTGAAGTGTTAGTCTTACTAGTTGGTACTCTTTCGTAATCAGAGAAAAGAAATCTTAGTTCTGAGGTAAATCACCCTACCTTGCATGTGCATCTTTCCTAGAGGACAAATCTCAAATATTGCAACAAGTAAAACATGTAATGATTTCTTAATATTCAGTAAAGATGCTGCTGAAGAAAAACAGATCTGTATACTGAATTAGTTTCAAATGAGTTCACAGAAATTAGTACTAATATCATCACCATCAATCATTTCTGCCACAGGGGTGGTAATAAAAAGGAGTCAGAATAGTTTAAAAAAAAACACAACTGTCACATGAGGGCATGCAAAACCCACTGCACCTGCTGTCAATCAAAAAGTGGGTATTCCAGCCCAGCTGGTGTGGCTCAGTGGTTGAACATCAACCCATGAACCAGGAAGTCACGGTTCTATTTCTAATCAGGGCACATGCCCGGGTTGCGGGTTTGACCCCCCAATGAAGAGTGTGCAGGAGGCAGCTGATCCATGATTCTCTCTCATCATTGATGTTCCTATCTCTCGCTCCCTCTTCCTTCCTCTCTGAAATTAATAAAAACATATTAAAAATCTTTTAAAAGTGGGTATTCCAGAACAGCAAGGTCAATAAAGAAGAAATATATCTAGCAGAGGAATGAAACACATATGAGGCAACCCCCACCACCCCCAAAGAATACAAATCATTACTAATGTGGTCAGTGAAGAAATTGACCAAGGATTTCCAGAAGTGGGCAGTACACATTGTTATTGCTGTGGCTCTGTGCACAGCATTCTGTGTAGACTGAGAATGTATTTTGTGTTATAGTGGTCATGGTGGTTGCCTTCCAATTCTTCCTTTGGATTCCAAAAGATTCTCCATTGAAAGAAGA